TTAAATAATTATAAGAAAATTAATTCCAAATTTCAGGAAATGAGATTGAAAAGTCTAGTTATTGCAGACAATTCTATTAAAATAAAAAATATAAAATTAATACAAAAATAATAAAATAAAATAATTTTACCAGTAAGTAATATGGGCCATCGACACGGCTATAGTAAACATGGGCCCATAGAAAACCTGGATTTCCATTGTTTATTTAATTAGGTTTTACTTGGCGGGAAACCTTTTTCCTCTCGTCTTTCTCTAGCCGGAAGCTTGAAAAAATGGTACTTGTATACCATAATTTCGATTGTAATATCTATTAATTTTGTAAACATGTTGTAGTTGGTGATAGAATGTCCTAACTGAAATTCGATTCTTGGACAAAGTTCTCAGAAGCTTTCAAAGATAGTGACCTGTAATTTTTAATATACGAAGTGGTGCCATTTTTGGTACTCCATCTATGTTTAAATTTTCGCTTACCAAGATTTAATAGATGTGTGTGCTGATGGTACTTCCATTTTGCGATCTGTTCCTGTAGTTTGCTGCCGGATTTACTTCTTCCAGATCCATGCATATAGTGTTTTAGGTCGAAATCATAAATAGGTGCAGTGGTAAGATTGACCGAGAAAAAGAAAAGAACAAGGAAAGAAAAGAGCGACTAGTTTTTTCTTTTGATTTTATCCTCATTTGACTTAGGTGCGTAGTTTTTAAGTTTCTGCAAGTCTTTTTCATCGTTCGAGCGGAAAATGGGTTAATATTGATAATTGGCACCTGCTATTGTTTAATCAAATATGACCATTTTGTCTGCATTATCCTATTGGCACCTGCTATTGTTGTTGGGATTTCAAATAGCGAGGAAGGATTATAATTTGCATTCTGCCTAATTAGCTTAAATAACCTCTGTAATTGATAGGGTTTTTTGATCATTTAGTGGATACACCTTTATTTTCTCTATGAATGTGTGTGGGATTTACTTTTAGTAGGAGAATTATAATCACACCTATTGGGGTAAGATTTTTTTCTCTTGTGTCTCCTTTGAGAAGGGTTGTTGGTTAGCAGACTTATCAATGAGGGCAAGTAATGTAGTTAACTTTTGCTTTTTTTCCTAAGGGATATTTTCAATCTAATTCAAAGTTAGATGTAAAATTAGTTGGTATACTTTCCATTTGTTTTCCATAAAAGGGAGAGGGAGAGGGAGAGGGAGAGGGAGAGGGTACATGTTTGCTGTTGGTTTCCCAAGTCTTTTTCATCGTTCAAATGGAAATCAGATTAATTGTCATAAAATGGCGGTGAATAGGTTACTCTTTTATTGGGTTGGTTAGAAGCTGTTGTTTATGTACTTGAAAGGAAACGACCATCATCTTGTTGCTGCAGATTTGACTTTGTTTTGGCTGGATTCTCTTTGTGGGGTTGTTTATTCTTCAAACAATGTAAAGCAACTGTTATTTTTAGCTGTTGTTTTTCGGTGAGAAATGGCTAGAAAGTTAATGACATTATCTTACATTTCAGAGTAATAAAGATTTATCAATTACTCTTATTCATTGGTACTAAAACCTTAATGCTCTGTTAAAATTCCATTGTTTTTATGACTATTTCAAGTTGGTAAATATTGTGTTTTAGAATTTTCATTTTGTGATCCATTTATCTTTACTCTACTCATTGATGTATATTTGGTGATGCAGGCTCCCCAAGAAGAAACTGGTACTTCTTTGTTACTTGTCTTGACATGTACAAAACTTCACTTGGAGTAATCTGCTTGGCAGCTCTGACTTGCAATTTTTTGTATGTCGTTGGAGTATAGGATAAGGCTAACAATCCTTCTTTTGAGAAGAGCCCAATGCATTGATTTGTTAAATTGCTTAGGGCAATCTGCATCCAACAACAGAAAAAGATCCTTAAGCAAAGGTTGAAGGTCCTAGCTGCATTGAACCAGTTCGTCAAAACTCTGGACAAAAATCTCGGTAAGATAAGGAAACTTTCATTTGTAATTATGGACAATGTGGCTGCTTAAGATGTTAGATGAGACATAGCTTTCTTTATTGTTTTGGCCACAGCTAGACAGCAAAAAATTGGAAAAAACAATTCATTGTTTACTTGATGGAGCTCTGATCATTAGCTCTTTTGGCTTTAGATGGATTAAAATACTACTTGGTTGAACAGAAAAATGGGAAAAAGCTGAAAAGCTTTCATAACTTATTTGATGGTATCTTCAGTCATACTTGAACGCATCTGCAGCATTAAATAAATGGAGATCTTTTACCTCCGTTCATGTTTTTATTTCTCACTTTTATACAAACAATTCTCTTTTTCATTTTGAAGATGATTTTTTTAGTATGATTTTATTTACAACGCCACATGATCTCTAACTGCAGCCACGAGTCTGTTCAAGTTGCTTCACAGGTACAGGGCAGAGAATAAGGTAATAACTGAGAAGGAAAGACTTTTGAAGAGGGCCTTATGTTGAGGTTGAAGGGAAGACTATTGAGACTAAGAAACTGATTATTGAGCAGGTTGTTTAAATTCATTGTTTGAGAATGTAGAATTTTCCTTTTCTTCTTCACTGAAAAATTTACTGAAATTTCTGTTGGCAGGAGGAGGCTCAGTTGATGTTGTTTATAAAGTAGTAAGATTTCAATTCTGTTTTAGTTGTGCATCATTTGCTAGTTTCAGCATCATTCTTCTGGGATGCGTTTGGTTCTTGAAAGAAATGTGTTTTAAGTTATTTAAAAAGTGTATATGCTATTTTGAGTTCTTTTTTTGGGAAAAAAAAAAAAAATAGTGACTTAAAATATTACTAAATTTCTGAATTATACACTTGACTAATTTTGACTCTTTAAAACATGAATGTCTTTTTACTTTTTTTAACTTTGAAATATCTCATATATATATATATATATATATATACACAAATAAACTAACATTATATTAATTGAAGCATGAATGCAGTAACCACCAAAAAGAGTAGAAGACATGGTTGACTAGATTTCTGTTTGTCTTTATTTTTAGGTTGATTTATTTGTAACACGTGCGTTAAATTAATTAAAAATAACAATTTCAAGTAAATTTCTAATTTCATATTACTTGATTTGACATGACAAGAACATTCTCAAGTTCTTTATCTACACTTTGTCTGTTCTAAACAAAAAAGAAGAAGAAGACTTCCACGAGTTGCTCATCATTCTTCATCCCCATGAATCATGCATGTCACTGTAGCAAATTCAATAACTCTGTAAATCGTGAATATTCTGCTCATTATCGCGCAAAACCGAGGAAACCCAGTCATTGATTTCCTCCGCATACGAACGCTCATCCACATTCTGGTGAGTACTATCTGAACCACCATACTGATGATCTGTTTCAACCGAAGTCGATTCCGGCTGCTCATAATCGCGCAAAACCGAGGAAACCCAGTCAATTTCTTCCGCATACGAACGGTCATCCACATTCTGGTGAGTACTATCTGAACCACCATACTGATTATCTGTTCCAACCAAAGTCGATTCCGGCTGCTCATTATCGCGCAAAACCGAGGAAACCCAGCCATTTATTTCTTCCGTATGCGAACGCTCATCCACATTCTGGGGAGTACTATCTGGACCACCATACTGATAATCTGTTTCAACCAAAGTCGATTCCGGCTGCTCATTATCGCACCAAAACAAGGAAACCCTGTCAGTCAAATCTTCTTCCCTATACGAACACTCCACATTCTGGGGAGTATTATCTGAACCACCATACTGATTATCTGTTTCAACCAAAGTCGATTCCGGCTGATCCTCCGACAGAATCGCAGTTGTCTCACTAATTGGCGAATCAGCTGTCTCGATCTCTAAGTTTTTGTTTTTCTTGCTAGCTTTATTATAAATCTTACACAGAACCCATTCTTGAAAGGAATCTTCAGCAAGCCGATACTCGTGCATAATCCACCCTGTCTTCTGGGCTTCTTTCCGTTTCTTGCTCGGATCCTTATAGACCAAAAAAGAAAGTGTCTTCTTCCGACCGATAACTTTACCACGACGCATAATATCTTTGTCGCCGGTATCAGAACGCCACCATCCACAGTCGACGGTCCGTTTGGGTCTGTTGGCATTGCAGTTTGCAGAGACTTTGTGGCGTCTGGAGAAGTAGTAGCGATAAGAGCTAGTGAGTCCAGGGTGGAATCCCCATGGTAAAACCGCCGGGTGAGATGCGTAGACGTCGGCGTCGATGATGAAGATGTTGAGAAGATGAGCCTGCTTTCCATGAATTTTGTTGCGTAAAAAGTAAGCAACTAAGTGTTGATCAGTGGGATTGAATGTTACCCCCGGAGGAAGCCCTAAAAGTTCTTCTTCCTCAAAATCGAAATCATCATTCCTACTGGTTTCCATCTTTACCGATCTCTATAGCAACTGGGTTGATCGTCTTTCTGTGTTACCTGGCGTTGATCGTCTTTCTGATTTGGAAATCAAACCTAAAAAGGAAAAAGGAAAAAGGAAAAAGGAAAAAGGGGGAAGCTAATATGGAAACCCGATGGAGCGAGAGGAAAAAGAAGTGGAACATACGCGAAACCAGATGGGGTGCTGTTTGATCAGAAATTAGGAGAGAACGAAAAGGCGGAGAATCAGGAAGCGATTGATCTCTGGACGTAAAAAGTACGCAACCGCAGAGAAAAGAGTAGGGAAGGGAAGGGAAGGGAAGGGAAAGACTAATATGCTATCGGTCGTAGCTAATCAGACGCCGCTGAACCGTCTGATTTTTATCAAAGTTTTTTGATGACTTAAAAGAGTCAAAACTAAACAGCCGTGCGCTCCGAGTTCTAATTATTTTTCTTTTCCAAAACGAATTAGTTTATAATTTTTTAATAATATTTTGATGTTTCTGTATTTAATAAAAATTTAAGAATTTATAAATTTTTACAACAATATTTTTTAAAAATTATTATGATATATTTTTTAAATATAGAATTTATCACTTTTTCTAAATTTTGAACCAACTAATATGTTATATTATACATAAAAAATCATTTTTCAGAATTGAAAACTCTTACTTACTAAAAACTTTATTAAAACTCTAATAAATATCTTCTTATTAGACAATTTCTAAATAAAATATATAAATAAATCAGAATTCCAATTATAATAAATAAATTTTCTAATCATATTAAATTTAATTCTAAATAAAATTAACTTCATAATTTTAATCATATTTATTAAATTTAAATTTGAAATTATTCTGTTGGATTTCTAATATAGATTGTTGTAAATAAACTTTTATTTTTATATTTATTGTAAATTAATTTTCAAATAATTTTTAAAATCTAAACTAAAATTACATAAATTATTTAATTTATGACGTTTTCTATTTATTTTAAATACTCAATTTATGTTTATACCATAACAGAAAAATAAAAATAAAATAATTAATTTATGTTTACATGTTTTAAAAAATAGAATAAGATATTTGATATAACATATAAAAATAAATAAAAATATTCAGAAATATGACATAATTTTTTATGCTTTCTACATTATTTTTTACACCTTCTTATATATAAATGTACATGAAATATATTTATTGTAACACCCAAATAAAAATAAAAATTTTTATTTTATTTATTTTTATTTTTATTTATTTGTTTGAATTTTTATTTAATTTAATTTAATGAAAATAAAAATAATAATAGTGATAAAATTGGGTAAAAATATTATTTGGATTTAATTGAAATTGATTTTAGGAAAAAGAGATGAAAATTTGGATTCTGTGAGTATTTTTGAAAAGAAAATCGAAAACCGATGGTCAAAACGCAATTTAGAAAAGTTGTGCCAAGTCAGCAGTCACGTCAGCAGCCACGTCAGCGGCCCGGTCAGCAGCCCCGGCCAACCAGGACGCGCCGTGTGGCAAGGCAACGCTGACCAGGGAACGGGCCACATGGGCGATCCGCGTGCGCGCGATCGGACGGCCCAGATTACATCGCGATGAACTGCCCAGATTTAATCCCAATTAAATCGCGATCGAACGGTCCAGATTTAATCTTGATGGACAGTTGAGATTAAAAGGCAAATGGTATAAATAACCCCACCCACACCTGACCACAAAAACCCTAGCCGCCAGTGCCTTGCCGGAGAAGAAGAACCAGACGCCGGAGGAGCCGGCCGCCGCCACCCGCCGCCGCACCGGGGAAGTTTCCGACCGCCGATCGACGTAAAGTTTCTCCCCCTTACTCGTTTTTCGATGCTGAGCCCGTCTATAGCCAAATCGGAGCCAAACCACCGGCCAAACGGCCGAAAAACCCAGCCGAAGCCCAGCGGTGCCGCCGCGCCCCTCCTCAGTTTTTGCCTCCGATGAGGCCCTTCCCGGCCTCCGTTCGATGCAATTTTTATACCACTATGATCACCGTTCTCTTCTCTACAGGTTGATCGGAGCCAAACATCAAAACGCAACTCACGTTGGAGGAGTCGCCGCACCCGAGAGCACCGCCGCCGGTAAGTTTTGGTTTTTCGTGATTTTTTGGCCCACCGAGGGCCCTAGGGTTGTTTTATCGCAATGACCGATGCAAGTGTGGCCGAATTTGGCCGAAAATCGCCGAAAACAGCCAACCCGAGGTGAATCGCCGCCGCAAGCGGCGGCGCCGTCGCCGGAGCACGGCAGAGCCGCCGTGCCGGAATTGCGATATTGGCCGAAAGGGGCCCTAGGTCTGATTTGGAATTTTTTGGGACACGTACAGGTACCGGTAGTGCGTTTCAGTTTTTCAAAAAAAATTCAGAGAAATTAGGGACAGCCTGTAGCTCACTGTAGAGCCGTATTCAGACCCCGAAACAAGTAACGACCCCTCACCCTATTTCCTATCACGGTATTAAAGCTAAATAAATAATTAAACTGTACTGTGTGACTTTATAGATGTATAATTGATTAACGTTGCCAATAGAGCCCGAGTCTGATACTGTGTTGGTCTG